CCTGGGCTTGTGGCTAACTGATCCCTGGCTACAGAGCCTCTGGGCTACACAGATCCTGGCAAACCCAGGTGGGGTGTGGGCTTAAGGGGCCTGCAGAGGGGCAAGCTCACTCCCTCGCCAACCATCCAGGGATGATTATGTTCAAATGCCAAGGAGGTGAAGAATGGAGGGTTGCCAGCTCAGTCAGTTCCTAGGAGTGAATCCGTGACTGGCATAACCTCAATAGCCATTCATTCATTCATTCATTCTTTCAACAAACACTGAGTGTTCACTATGCACCAGGCACTAGGCTCGGTGCTGGTAATACACCTGTAAAGGAGACCCGCTCCCCCACCCTGCCCAGAGGAGGGGTTGCCGTTGGCTAGGGACTCCTCTCAGGGGTATGGGGGAGAGTAAGTAGACACACTTTCTCCCTGAAGGCTGCTGTTCCTGACAACTCAGCTGACCACAGGCCTCAAGCGTCCAGGGACTTTTCTAGGAGTCATGCGGCCAGCCTCCTCCTCTTCCTCACTGCCCTCCGCAAAGCACACACTCATGGGGCTCCAGGGGGCTCCCTGTTGGATTGGAAAGCTGAACTTTTCCAAGGGTGATAAGCTTCCCCAGACGAAGGCCTCATCAGGATCCCTGGCACTGCCCAGTGGCCCTGGCCTCCCTGACAGCTCTGGGATGGGAGTCCAGGCCAGTGGTCCCAATGTTAGGTTGAAAACAGGCCACGGTGCTCCTTCCTATGGCTTAGAGCCCTGACCACACAGTGAAGGAAGGAAACAAACGGGCAAGGCCAGTCGGCATAACCAAAGGTGACCCCATGGCCTCACTTCGCTGACCCTGGCCAGCCTCCCTTATTCTAGGACAGAATCTGCCCTCCCCAGTAGGTGGGGAGGAAAGCACAGGCTTTGGTCAGACAGACCCAAGTTAAAATGCTGGGCTGCCATTTATTATCTGTGTGACCTTGAGCAAGTCACTTTACCTCTCTGAGCTCCAGTTTCCTCATCTATAAAATGAGGGTCACATGACCCATTCCTTTGCTCAAGTGTCTACGAGGTACAGGAGGCTGGGGCTCCCCTTCCTCTGACCAGCTGCCAATCTTATTTCTCCTGGCAGGAGGGGATCTGGTTTTGCCCTTTGTGGGTTGGATCACAGGTCACATCAAGATTTGGAAATGGAAACATTTAAGAGGATTCATTAAAAAAAAAAATCCCTGAGCACCCCAGAAGGGGGCAGTGCTACCCTGGGTTTGGCTCTGGAAGACCAAGGCCTCCTGTGCCCTCTGCTGGCCACTCACGGTTCTCATCCCTTCAGGGACAATAACAAGAATCCTTCCCTGACCTTCCTCCTCCCTCTGACCCTCACACGTATCTTGGAAGCTCAGTTCAGGGACCTCCTGATTCTCCTGCTGGGAATGTGACATCCCAAGACAACAGGGATTCTAGGGTCCATTCCTGTTTGGCCTTGACACACAGCCTGTTGTTTCTGAAGGGGATTCACCATCCCAGCAGCATTTTCTTAAGCTGCCTCATCCTTCCATGAGAACATCCACTCAGGCAAACGGGAGCGAGGTGCCCAGGGGGACACGCCCCAGCCAGGGTGGCTACTTACATGCTGGATCAGCGTCTCCACAATCTTATAACGGTCGGGCATGTGGGTCACCATGTCTGCCATGTTGTCCTCGGACGTCCTCACCAGCGTTGGCCCAAAGACCAGGGCCAGGTTCCGGGGCTCCATCTGGGCAGGAGAGGGAGCAGGTCAGCATCAGTGACACTGTGAGCTTGACTCCAGTCCCCCAGGCCTCCCTTCCTCTGGTCCCCTTAGGATGTCCTGACCACATCCTAAGCTGTCCCTGGCTTAGAGGCTGCATGCCTCCTTGCATAGGCATGGAGGTGCCTGGTAAGTAGAGCACAGCCAGATTTCAGACCCACTCACCCCCGGGCCCGGTAGCCATGGGCAGTGCCCAACGAATACACCCATGCTGTGCTAGTAGTGGGAGATCCCAGAGTAGGGACTCATTGGAGGTCCCAAAGGTCCTTTAGGACTGGGAGAAATCCTATAGTTCCCCTTATTTTTCCCGCTGCAGAACCAGAAGATATAAATAGCGTGTTTAGGGAAATGCAGTACAAGGGATTCCAGCTAAGTCAGAGGATAGATTTCCATCAGCTGCAGGGGGACTGTGGCTCTGGGTCTCTGGAAGACCCTCAGAAACTCAGGAGCTGGCTCTCTGAAGTAGGGCTGGGGTAGGGATAGAATGACCTTTAAGGAGGAGGGCGTGCCTAGAGGGCCTTGAGATTTCTGACCCAGAGGAGCTCAGCATATGCTGAGGAGACCCAGGTATGCGTCCCTCCCCCACACTCCATGCCAGGGCCCCACCCTACCTTGTTTTTCTCTGAGTGGTCAGCAATGGTCTTCAGATGGCCCACAAGGAATTTGAGTGTTTCATAGTAGTGTCCTGGGAGGTCCCGGATCTGGGCAGGAGAGAGAAGGGACATGGAACCAGGCTGTGAGGGCCTTCCCCTGTCCACCACGCCCCAAAGGGGCTCCCACTGCCATATCTCAGGGGCCCTGGAGTCTACCTCTAACTGCCCCCTTGTATAGATGGAGAAACTGAGGCCCAGAGTGGAGAAGGGCTTCCCAATGTCACAGGGGGAGTTAGTGGCACTGGACTCCGGGCCTCCAGGGACAGTAGTGCTCTCCCAGTCCAGCCTACATTTTGCCTAACAACATCTCTTTCCTTACCAGCTTCCGCAGTGTCTTCATCCGCTCCCTTGAGTCTTCAATGCGATTGGCCTCGATGAAGTCGTTGTATTTGTCTAGAACAGAGTGAAGACCCTTTAGAGAGGTGGAGGCAACCTCTTCTCCAACAGTCAGGGTGGGTGCCTTCCAGGCTGAAAGCCCCAGCTGGCTGAGTGCGCCCATGCTGTCCCAGTTTCAGGGAGCTCCATGGCCTTGTGTTCAGGTGATCAAACCCACCACAATTGCACTCAGGTGTGCACCTGACCTGGGGTAGCCCAGGTGTGTTCATTTGGGAAGAAATAAGACCTGAGTTGCATGTTAATACTAGAAAAGGGGTCCCTGCACCAGTTTCCAGGACAAAGGTATCACAAGGTCAGAGGAGAAAGTTCCCTGGAAAGAGGAAGACGAGGCCTTTCAGCCTCCAGACACCTCACCCTACCTATGTCGGGATTCCCCCAACTCCCTTCAGAAGAAGTCCATGGGGAACTTTTAAAATGGAACATTGCTAGTTTATTCTAAAATCCATCTGGATGAGTAAACGTACAAGGACAGCCAATAATATTTTTTAGAGGAAGAATGATGGGGGAAAAGAATGATACTGAAACACACTGAAAAGATAGCACAGCTAGAACAGTGGAACGGGTAGGGAAAGATGAACAAGGACAGGGAAGAAAGGAGGGAAACAGGCCACGTGGATCTTTACTATGTGATAAAGGCAGCCCTTCAAATCAGTGTGGAAGGAATGGAGGCATCAGTAAAGGTCCCTGGGACAATTAGCTATCTTGTTGGGGGGGGGGAGGCAAATATCCATTTCTAGCTCACATAATAGACATTTAATTGCATTACACAGCCAAACAGAAAAGTTATTAAAATACTGGGAAAAATAAGGAAATAGTTTTATAATCATAAGGCCTTCCTAAACATGAGATGTGGAATCTATAAAAGATTAACAATTTTGACACTTAAAATAATTGTTTTCAATTTCTCTACTGAAAAGTTAAAAGGCAAATAGAAGACCAGGACAAATATTTGCAAAAACTAACAAAGGATTAATATCCATAATATACAAGAGCTTGTCTCCTACAAATCAATATGAAAAAAAGACAGACAACTAAATAGAAAAATGGGCATGTAGTCCGAACAGGCAATTACAGAGGAAATAGAAAAGACCAATAAATCAATGAAAAGATAGTTAATCTCCCTAGGAACGAGGGAAATGAAAAGGAAAACAATAATAATAATTAAAAAATGTTTATCATGACTTTGACATAGCAATTCTACGTCTAGGAATCTACCTCGAGGACACCAACCCAGGCGTGCAGGGACATACTCAAGGAAAATCATTGCAATGTGTTTTGTCACAGCAAAAATTTGAAGAAACAGCCTAAATATCCATCAATAGGGGAGTGATTAGATGAATTACAGTCTATTCAGACTAGGACATATTATATGGTTGATTTACAAGAAGAATGAGGTAGAGCTCTTTGTACTGACATGAATGAATCTCAAAATTACAGCCTCCTTCTGTTAAGAAGAACCCCACCACCAGTGGTATGCCGGAGTCCGCTCACACTGCTGCCTGAAAACCAACGGTGTTCATTGCTTCCCAGCTCCACGTTGATGACAGCGTATCAGTGGCTTGAAATCAGTCGCAAGGGAAGTATTCATACCATGGAAATTGGAAAATGCTATAGATCAAGGCTTTCTTTCCCGGAAAGCCAGATATTAAACATTTACCAGCACACCACTGAACACACCCAACTCCAAACGCTATGTATGCATGTGTGTCTTTGTCATATGTGTCAGAGAGTCTGGAAGGAAACACAACAGATTGCTGATAAGGAGCTGGATACCTGGAGCTGAATCCTGGCTCTGACACTTACAGTCTGTGAGACCTTGGGAAAGTCATTTAACCTCTCTGTGCCTCAGTTTCCTCATCTGTAAAGTGGGGATAATGGTGCATACCTCCTGGAGTTGTTGTAGAGAATAGTGCTTGGCACATAGGAAATGCTTAGAGAATGTTAGTATAACCTCGGGAGACAGGGAGTGGGAGAATGATAAAGACCTTTGTGTTTACTTTATTCGTATCTGTACTACCTGAGTTTTTTACAAGCACATGTTTCTTTTGTATTAAAATAAAAACCTAAAAAATAAAATTAACAAGCCCAATTTAAAAAGTGATCATTGTGCAGCAGAGACAGGTATCTCTCCCCCATCCTCTATTTCTACCCCTTACTCACCATCCGTGAAAAGAGGCTCAGGTAGCTTCCGGAAGAAGGACTTGAGTAGGCTGCTGATCACATTGAGGTCTTGCCAGCGCTGGGGAGAGGGCACAGGTGTCAGGCCACAGGGAGGCCCAGCCCAAATGCTCAAACCCCCATACCCCCAGGTCCAGGTGCAGCCCAGGTGCCCATGCCTCCATGCTAGTCCAGCCCTAAGGCCCAGCCCAGCCAAGCCCAGGCCCTCCCTGATATCCACTCACACCAAGCTCTGCTCACACCAGGAATCTCTGGGCTAAATAGACTCATCGAGGCAGCAGAACGGAGTCCTCAGCTTGGTTCTAGCTCCCCTACCACCTGCCCCCAGCCCGGCCGTGCTCTAACCAGCCCAGTGGGCTCCAACATTTGTCCATCCATAGAAAGCACCAGGTGCCTTCTTTGGTTCAGGCACTGTGAGGGACAGAAGTAAGCAAAACTCACCCCAATGCGAGCCTGCCCATTGGACCTCCATTGTGCCTGCTGGTGCCAACTCCTGCTTCTCAATGCTCCCCATTTAGCAGAGAGTCATCCTTGGAACCCCCTCTCCTTATCCTTGACATAGTACGTGTTCGTGCACGGTGCCTTCCTGTCTCAGGCCCTTTGCACTTGCTTGTTCCCTCCACTAGAACGCTCCTCGCCCTGCCCTCCACATGACTAGCTCCTCACCCTCTCTATAGGTCACCTCTTCAGGGAGGCCTGCTCTGACTGTCACAGCAAAAGCAGCCACCGTGCACTGCTCTGTCATCTGTATCACAGCCCTGACTTTGTTTCTTCCGTGGCACTTACCACAATGTGTCATTATTGTAAACATTCATTTTCACGTTCCTGCCTACCTCCTTGGCAGAGGTGTAAGCTCCATAAGGGGCAGGGATCCTGTCTGTCTAATTCCCTACTGTGCTCCTATCACCAAGCTAGTTGTTAGCCTGGCACCTAAACGGTCTAACTCAGTAGTTCTCAACCAGGACGATTCTGCCCCCCAGGGACATTTGGCAATGTCTGGAACAATTTTGGTTTTCATAACTGGGGGGCGGTGCCACCGGCATCCAGTGAATAGAAGCCAGGGATGTTGCTAAACTTCCACCAATGCACAACAAAAAATTATTTTGTTCAAAGTATCAACGTTGAGGTAACTCTGGTCTGAATAAATGGTTGTTGAATACTATTGGGTTGTCGGAAAAGTCATGACGTATTTTTCTATGTTTTCTGTTGCAAAAATGCGTCAGGACTTTTCCGATAACCCAGCAGAATGAATAAAGAACAGCCGGGTCACAGTCCCTTCTGTCCACCAGGCGGCACCATGACCTTGCACAAAGTCAAGGATAACAAACAACCTTGATGGGAACTGCTCAGAATAACTCTCGCCCAGAAAGCAACATAATACCCTCAACAGACATGCAACTTGACAATACACATGTTCAAAGACGCACAACTCCACAATATACATGCTCCTTACAATGGATCTACAGCTTAAGGCCCAATCATCCCACGGCTACTACCCTCCTCACAGGCTCAACAAGAGTTAGATTCACCCCACACACAACACTTAACTTCCAGCACTCCTCCCCCACCAACAAATGACACCACGGATGTCTAAGACAAAACCACACACCCAATACACTCGGCAAACCCCCTAGGCCCTCTTCTCCCTCCTCAGGCCTAGATACTGGGCTTTGGTACATACCCACCCCTACCCAGTACAGCGCCTACCACCTCCTCCATTACCTCCTGGTCCTGATGCGTGGGCTCTTCTCATCTCCCAACTGCCAAACCCAAGGCTTTGCCTTGTCCTTCTTGACCCCTCCTATGTGCAAGTACCTGCCCCTCATCCCCTTCCTCACCTGAGCTCCCCTCTCCGTCTGCCCATCAGAGCCTCGGCCTCGCACTTCTGACTTCCACTCTCTCCCTGAAGAGCAGCTCCCTCCATCATCTCATCTCCATGCCCCAACACAACCTGAAGCCCACTCCCCATTCCACTCTCTGGCTAGTGCCCGATTATGCCATCACCCCCATGTGGGGAACTTGCTGTCACCCCTAATCCGATGGGACCACTACCTGACACAGCCTCCTTCTCCTGTCCTGCTCCCCAATTTCTGCCAAGCCCCAGCTTCCAATATATCAGTAATTTCATTCCCAGATGCCCTGCTCTGGGCCTTCCTCACTCATATCCATTAGGTATAAGCTAAAGCACTACTCTTTCTCAAACCCCATTCTCATGTATGCCTCTCCAGCTCAAGAGCCATCGAAGGCTCCCTACTGTCCATTAGATCAAGGTCAAAGTCAACAGTGAAGTCATGAAAATCCCTCTGTCTCCTGCCCCTCATCCTTCCCACTGTCAAGCCCAAGAGGTGGGTCCATTCTCTGTCCTGACACTCAGATCCTTCTCTGGGATTTTGGAAAATGCCATCATGCCCTGTCTAAGACTGCCTTCCTGTCCACCTGCCACCTCCTATTCATCCTTCAAAGATTCAAACACTCAAGCCTACCATCTGCTCCAGCACTTGGCATCCTCTCCTCCTCTCCTTCCTCATCACACAATCTGGTCCTTGATGAGAGATCAGCTTTTTCTCTTGCCCACGATTTCACACATACTTGTCTTCTCTTCCCATTCCCTTTTCAAGGGCAGGAAGACTGTCACGTATCACATGAGGCTTCATGGTTTGTGACTCATGGGACTTCACTGCCCAGATTCGTTGTTTTCTAAAACCTCTTTTTTCAGCAGAGCCCCTTTTGTCAAATAAAACTACACATGAAAATCCAACAGAGAGGGCTTGCTCTAGTTCACGCAAGGATGGAAGTCGTGACCCGGCCCTTGTCTCCCACAGCACATCTGGGGAAACTTAAGACTCTGGAAAACACAGTCTGAGAACCACTGGCTCTGCTAAAAACTCTTAAGTGTGGCTATCATATCGCTTTATGAGCTGGTCTCATCTGATCAGCATCTTCTCTTCCCATGTTGCAGCTCCCCAAATTGCTGGCTGCTCCAGAAAACACCCTTCTTCTATGCCAGTGGTCCGCAACCATGGCCCATAGGCCAAATCTACCCAGCAGCCTGTTTTTGCATGGCCCTTGAGCTAAGAATGAATTTTACATTTTTAAAGGATTGTGAAAACAAAGGAGGAGGAGAAGAAGAGGAGAAAGAGAAGGAGGAAGGTATGCAACAGAGACTGTATGGTAACCAAAGCCTCCAATACTTGCTACCTGGCCCTTTACAGAGAAGGTGTATTGACTACTAGCAAACCTTCCGAGTCCACGTCTTTGCCCAGGCCATTCCCTCTGCCTGGAATGCCTTTACCTGGCTTTTAGTGAACTCTGCTCATCTTTAAGGCCCAAAACTCTGTTGCCCTTGAGCCTCTGCCCCAGGGCTCCCTAGGCTATGACTGCATCTATCTGTTCAGCCTCAGTTGGGGTGATGCCCACCCCCAGGGCTGGCCTGCAAGGGCAGGTCCTGTCTTGCCCATCTTGGTGCCAGTGCCACCAAGTGCCACACACATCACAGTGGCCCAGTGCCACACACATCACAGGGTGCAATAAATACAATAGACATGCACACCACCTCAGCCATCCCCACAGCCCCCCCAGCTGCACCCACCTCATCCTGTGGGTTGATGTCACCAGGCCCGCGGTTGAGCTGCTCCTGCAGGCTGGAAACCACTGCATTGTTGCCTGGCACTCGGTAAATGCCTGTGGACTCCAGTCCACGTGCTTCCACAATGCGACAGCATGCAGCCACAATCTGGGGGACGCGCTGGAGACACAGGCAGGATGTGGGTGTTAGAGAGTGTGAGGGGAGCATTCTCCACCAGTGGGTCAGAGGAGGTGGGGAGGCTAAGATGGGCGCAATACAAGGCCCAGCTGCTGCCAGGAACCCTATGAAGGAACAAAAGGCCCTCGCTGCCTCCAGACTGGAGGTTAGAAATAACCCCCAAGCCTTGTCCTGATCTGAGAAGGGGCATCGGCTGGTGGTCAGGGATTCTGGGCTCTGCCTCAGCTCTGCTGCTCCCTCCCTGGGCTTCCCTAGCTGTGTCTGTAAGACACATGGACAGCTGCTTCCAAGGTCCCTTGCAGCTCTGACATCTGTACCTCAGCCTCCCCCTTCCCTGCCTGCTTTGCAATGTGGTGGGGTCGCACCTGGTTCTCTGTGGCTGGCTGGCACTCCTCCAGCCGGACCCCAAATGCTCTGGGGGCTGCCTTCTTGTTCTTCTTGATGATGTTGATGCCCCAGGGGCTTTTGGAGGCAGCAACACTATCATCTGGGATGGGGAGCAGAGAGCGCAAGGGTGAGCTGGGCCCAAAGAGGGGCAGCAGCCAAGCAGCCACACTCACCCGCCACATCCACACGTGTTTGGACATGTGGGGGCTCCGTCAGAGAAGCCACTGGGATGCAGAGGGCAGATGGGAAGTTCCATCCCAAGTGTGAAGGCCGAGGGATGAGGGTGTTCACCCCAGAAGAGAGAAGCCTCAGAGTAATGCAGTGACCTCTGTGTGGCCTCCAGGGCTAACACAACCAGGTTAAAGCCATGGATTCTGGTATAGCCAGAAAAGGAACTTTCTAACAGCCAAAAGTGTGTGTAGATGGAAAAGGTTGCCTCCAGAGAGGACAAGCCTCCTGCCCCTGAAGGGACACAGCAGAGACCGGATGACCACCCAGCAGGGATGTAGTGGAGAGATATCAGGCTCCAGGCCCTTTAAGGCCTGAGACCCTGAGAGCCCCAGACCCTCACAGGCAAACACACATAAGACACACGTGCACACATGCACGCGCGCACACACACACACACACACACACACACGTGTGCACATACACTCACAGGCCCTCCCCTCCCATTCAGACCCACAGGCTTGAGTCCCACCTTCCACTTGTACGCACATCACCCCATAGCAGCCACCTCCTACCTTTGCTTCCTGCTGGCTGGTCCTGAGTCCTGAGGCCACGTGCAGCACTCTGTCTGAGAAACTCAGACTTGAGGCCCCCCAGGCCACGAGAGCCTTTTGGGGAGGAATCAGCTTTAGGCCCAGAGCTATGGCTGTGTAGGAAGAGGGGGGAGAGGAGGAGTCTTCACCTGGGTGACCCAGCATGCCACCAGCCCCGGCCTCCTCCACTTTGGACCTACCCTCCATCCCTGAGGCAAACCCTCCACACCCTTCTGGGGACTGGAGGCCTCAAGTCCCCTGCCACCCTCCCTACCCCCAGCAGAGAGCAAGCCAGGGGCTGCCCTGTAGCCTAGAGGTGAACGAGGAGGACAACCGTTGCCCAGAGTGCCCCCCACCACTAGCCAGGACTGCTCCATGAGGGCTGGGCCTCACCTCACTTTTCGGTAATCGTTAAGCTTCTTGCTGATCAGAGCTTGGTTGGCACAGCCGGGGTCCTGGAGGAAAGGGAAGAGAGAGCAGACACTGTCAGTGCCCACAGCCAGCCCACTCCAGGACTCATCCCTGACCCCTGCCTCGGCCTTGCTTCCCCTCTCCTCCATCTGCCAGCTGGAGGGTATGGACCCTGGAGGAGAAAGGCCAGGGTTGGACTCCCAAGCACCCTCTCACCAGCTGTGTGACCTTGGGTAATCCACTTAACCTCTCTGAGCCTCAGTCTCCTCAGTAATAACATGGGGGGATAATATGGCAACCTCAGGGTTGGGATGCAGAATTATGCACACAGCACTCATCACAGTCTTGTCAAGGCACAGGAAAGGTGCCCCATGAATGAGAGCTACTGCGATAATGAAGGTGACTTGGGATTCTGTGACCATCCCCTGCTGGGAACAGCCCAGTCAGGCCTCCCAAAGCAAGAGACCAGATTCCAGGTACTTTCCTTCTTGCAGAGTTGCAAAACAATGTTCTAGGGGCAGAGCCTGGTTCAGTGAGAGGATACATCCTCAGCAAGAGAGTCTGTGGCCTGAGACTGTGTATCAGCACCCCTTCCCTGTGGCCAGAGCAGGTGCACGCCTGGATCAGGTCCCAAGTCCAGGATCCCTACATAACTTTGTGCAGGTGTGCCGAAGTACTTTCATGAGGGCACCTGGCCAGGGAAGGGGTGAGTGGAGGTGGCAACCTCAGCCCAGGCCTCTGGTATGAAGCTGCCTAGGAAGGGGCATCATGTTTGAAATTCTCCCAGAGTCCCTGCCAAAGCCTTGGCTCAACCCCTGCTGCCTGCTGCCAAAGGCCAAGCCTCTTGGCGTCCTCCCAAGGTCAATGTGTTCATGTCGCTGCAGACAGGCCAGCCCTGTCAAAAGGGCCAGCTATACTTCTGGCACAGGGGTGGCCTCATTCTGTAATACACTCCATAGTAGACACACACACCCCCATAACCTCCAGCAAGAAGTTGAGGTTGGCCTGGAGCTGACCTCTGTGCCAAAGCCTGCCCAAAGCAATCATAACAATAATAATAATTATTATTATTCCTATAGTTATTATTGTTACTGACAGTCATGACATACCAAGGATGCCAAGTGCTCTGTGAACCACTGTGCATTTTCTCGTCACACCAAACCCTAGGTGGGTACAGTTACAAGGTGTACTCCTGTTAGCCCATTTTATGGAAGAGGGAACTGAGGCTCAGAGCTGTGAGGTGAGAGGTGGCCCTGGGCCCTACCCTGGCCACCCTGGTCCAGCTGGGGCTGGGCGGGGCCCTCACCTCGCCCTCGGCCCTGCTGTTCTCTCGGATTGCTCTGATCCAGCCCAGCATATCATCCCGGTCCTCAGCCTGAAAGAGATATTCACAGAAGTCAGCGGTGGTCAGCCGGAACACGTGCCTCCTCTTGGTCTCGCTGTAGGAGATGTCCACCAGGCAGGAGCCGATGCAGACGGGCGCCGCCTCGTCCTCACCTGCGACGGCCGCCGCCGCCCCTGCCGCCGCTGGCCCGGGCTCCCGCCGCTCCTTGCTCAGCAAGAGGGAGCGCGCCCGCAGCGCAGCGTGCACGCGCTTCCACTGGCGCAGGCCGCCGCCCGCTTTCTGCAGGGAGACACAGGAAGGGGGGAGAGATGGGAGGGAGAGGGTGTGAGAGGCCAGTCCTGCCCTCCCTGCTCCCAGAGCCCGGGGGGGCCTTGAAAGCTTTCGGAAAGTAGATAGTAGTGGGGACCCCCACCCTATGGGCCGCCAGGAGCACCCCTGTTCCACTCCTGCTGAAACCTGGGGCAGCCTCCTGCCCATAGTCTCCCAACTCTCTCAAGCCTCTCACCTGCCTGAAAACCCCTACCCATTGTTCTGTCGTCCCTGTCCCATCCCCCACCCCCACCCCCCCCAGAAGCTCCACAACCTTCTCTTTAAAGACTAGCATCTTTGGGCCAGCCGAGTGGCTCAGTTGGTTAAGAGTTTGCTTAAGAGCACAAGCTCTGAGCAAGTTTGATTCCCACATGGGCCAGTGAGCTTTGCCCAAGCTGAGCAGCTGCTTAGCTGCCAACAGGTGACAGGTTGGCTCAGCTGGTGAGAGCGCGTGCTCCTAATAACAAGATTGCCTGTTCGATGGGACTGAACTCAGCACCCTGAGCTGAGCTGCCGCCCGGATGGCTCAGTGGATAGTGTGCGCTCTTAACAGCAAGGTTGCCAGTTCGACTCCCACATGAAAAAGAAAGAGAGAGAGAGAGAGAGAGAGAGAGGAGAAAGGAAGAGAAAGAAAGAAAGAAAGAAAGAAAGAAAGAAAGAAAGAAAGAAAGAAAGAAAGAAAGAAAGGCAGACTAGCATCTTTAAATACTAGCATCAACACTCATCTGGTGTTGGCAATGTCCCAGAGAACCAGTTGGGGCTCTGGGAGGCAATCGGGCCCCACCCAGCATGAGCCACCTTACATAAAATCCTTGTAAAGCCATTCCTAGTCCACATATGCTCCCCTTCACAGCAAAACTGGTCAAGAGTGTCAACCACACTTGCTCTCCCCACTTCTTTGCCTCTCACTCAAAACTCCATGCAGTACCCCTTCCCAGGAAGCCACTCACAAGGTCACCAGGGCTCCCGATGTTGCCAAAGCCTGTGGACGCTTCCTGGCCCTTCTCAGCCCTTTGCTTAACCTCCCTGCAGCATCTAGCTGTGCCTTCCCTCTTCAAACCCTCTCTTGGCATCTGGGACCCCACGGTCCCTGGTTTTCCTCCTAACTTCATTGGCTCTTTCTCAGTCTCCTCCACTGGTTTCCTTCCCTCCAATATCCTCTACACCAGGGGTTCTCAACCTGGGTGAATTGCCCCCAAGGGACATTTGTCTGGAGACACTTTTAGTCGTCACACCTGGGAAAGTGCTATGGCATCCAGTGGATAGAGGCCAAGGATGCTGCTCAACAGCCCCTGATGTTGTGGGGGACAGCCCCCACAACACAGCATCATCTGGTTCCAAATGTCAACAGAGCTGAGGGTAGGACCCTGCCCTAAAGGGTGGGGCGTCCCACGATTTTGTCCTGGGCTCCCTTCACCCTGCATGCCTCCCCCCACGATGTCATCTATCTGCTGACGGGGATTCCCAATAGATCACTGGTCCAGCGTCTCTCCCGAGCCCCAGTGTACCTCCTGCTCCCTGTGCAGCGTCTCCACTTGCATGGCCCACAGGCACTGCTCGCTATGGGGCACTTGATTCTCACCATCAAACCTGTTCTCCACCCCCCGCCCCCATCTTTCCCAGATCAGTAAATCCACCCAGTTGCCCAGAAACCTGAAAGTTGACCTTGACTCCTCCCCTTTCCTCACCCTTGACATCCAACCCATCAATCAGGAAGTTACAACTTCCCAAATACCACCTGTCTTCATCTTTTCTGCTACCACCTTGTCCATGCCACCAACACCTCTTGCCTGGACAACTGCACAAACCCGCCCAGTCTCCACTCTTGCCTCTTGCAATCCATTCTATGCCCAGCAGCTGCAGCCATCGTTTACATTAAAATGTAAATGAGATTATGTCTCTCCCCTGCTTAGCACCTTCTCATGGGTTTCCACTGCCCTTGGAATCAAATCTAAGGGGCTTTGTGATCTGGTCCCTTCCTCTGCAAACCCATCTTCTCTCCCTCCATTTTCCTCACTACGTCAAGCCACGGGGCCTTCTACAGTCAACAAGCCAAGCCTGTCCTTTCTTGGGGCCTTTGCACTTGCTGTTCCTTCTGCCCAGAGGCCCTTCTCTCACTTCTTCTCACCCTTCAGGTCTGAGCTCCACCAACATCACCTCCTCATTGAGGCCTTCTCTGACCATGTTTTCTCTATGGGCAGCTCCCCCTGTCCTCCCAACTTAAAGGCAATCACAGGGCCAGCTGAGTGGTTTAGTTGGTTAGAGTGCGAGCTCTGAACAACAGGGTCGCTGGTTCGATTCCCACATGGGCCACTGAGCTGCACCCGAGCTGAGCTGCTGCTGAGCCGGTAAGAGCGCGTGCTTTTAGCAGCAAGGTTGCCGGTCTGGGACTCTTATGGGATGGTGGGCTGCTGTTCCTGCCCCCCCCACCCCCCCACAACTAAGATTGAACATGGCACCTTGAGCTGAGCAGCCACGAGCTGCCAATGGGCAGCCGGATGGCTCAGTGTGCAACAAAGTTGCCGGTTCGACTTCCGCATGGGATGGTGGACTATGACCACCCCCCTACCCCCAGCCCAAACTAGATTGAAGGCCGCGACTGGACTTGGAGCTGAGCTTGTGCCCTCCACAACTAAGATTGAAGGACAACAACTTGACTTGGAGCTGATGGGTCCTGGAAAAACACAATGTTTCCCCTCCCCAATTCCCCAATAAAATTCTTAAAAAAAAAAAAAAGGGAAATCACATCACCCTATTCATTTTCCCTGAGTGCTCACTGCAATCTCAGGTGATGCTGGTTGTAGTATTCTCCAGTATATGGTAAGATCCCGAGGGCAGAAAGCTTGTCTGTCCTCTCAGATCCATACCCCAGAGCCTAGAGCCTGCCCACGTACCAGTAAGTGCTCATCAATGTTTACTGAATAAATGCGAGAATCATCCTTGGAGCACCCTGAGGGCAGGAGCTCCATCTCAGACTGGGGGCTCCTTCTCTCTGGCTGATGGCCCACTTACTACTCCACACCCAGCATGAGCCTCTGCCTTCAGAGCAAACCCAGTGAGGAAACTGCATGGCCAGCAGGTGAACACAGCCATGGCTGACCGTGAGCCCTGCCCACAACAGACCTGGGGACCTAGGCAGCATCGTCCGGAACAGGAGATAGCAGGGCCCTCCAGGAAAATTTTTATGTGGGCTATGGGTGGTGGTTGGTGGGACCCTCCCTTGAGGTGATGACAAGGGTGCCCCTTTGAGGCTGAACCACCTAGGTGAACTTGGACAAGTCAAGCCCCCTCCCCTGGTATCAGTATTCCTTGTTGGTAAAATGAGAGGTGAACTAGTTAGTCTCCAAAGTTGCATCCAGCTCAAACGCTGGGTCTGTGGCTGTAGGGATGTGCCACACACACACACACACACACACACACACACACACCCTGCCCTCTCCCCTCCTGACAATCAATGTCTCTGAAAGAGACTGGGGGTGGAGGGGACACACAGGAGAAGCTGGACTTGTGGGAGCAGATAACATCTGGCTGGCAATCAGGACCCTGTACAGACCAAGGGCCTAAAGCTGACTTGAGCGCCCCCCCTCCTAACTCCGAGGCCATGGAAGTGAGGAGGGGACAAGCAAAATCGGGTTCTGGCCAGGACAGGCATGGAAGCCCCTGCATCCAGAACTCGTCAAGTGAGTAGGAAGGAGCCAGCGCCTCTCCCTGTCCTGCAGACACTGTAGCTGGGCTGCCAGGGGCCACTTACAGCTGGGGGACAAGCTGTCTGGCAGGCAGGAGTAGTAGTTCTCACAGGTCTCCAGAGGGGCTCAAACATTGGGCTGGAAGGATCTGTCCACACCTGGCTCCCCCTCCTCAACCACACAGCTGGCCCCTGCTGCCCCTCCTGGTCTCCTGCCATCTTGCTGGCTCTCCTCCTTGGCCATCATCCCCTACTTCCTCTCAAGGCACAGCCTGTCTCCTGCCTTCTCCCTCTGTGCTCCCCGACCTTGGCTGCAGGTGCCTGTGCACATCCTGAAGGACAAATGCCCTCCCCAGGTAGGCCTCCCTCCTGAGTGCCACACCCTTGGAGCCTCTGTCCCCAGGATACCTCCACCCTCAGACTCCACAAGGCCCCAAAGGAACCTCGTGGCTTCCTCTCCCCAAACCTGGCCCTCCAGTGCCTGTGGCTCTGGGAGGGTCCCACCAACCACCAACCACAGCCTAAGCTGGGACCCCAGGAACCAGTGTCGCCTCTCCCATCCTCCGTCACCTCCTCCCAACCATCAGCAAGCCCAGGTCTTCCTTCCCTTTGAATCTCTCTAACTTGTCCATTCCCCTTAGCCCCACGCCACAGGCTTAGTCAGGGCCCCAACCCTCGCTCACCTGGACAACAGCAGTGGTAGCGTTGCCTCTTCCTGTCACAGATGCAACACTTGCCTCCTGGGCTCCTACACATCTCACGCCCCCTCCCCCTCCCATTTAAATCCTGCCAAAGCTTGCCCTGAGTGACAAGGCCCATTGAACAGGCACCCAGCTCCCCACCTTGGCTTCCACCTCTTGCCCTGGCTCTCAGCCATCTAGCACCCCCTCTCTACCTTTCTCTCAGGCATCAAGGAGGGCATCTCCTCTGTCAGGCCACTCCCTTCTCTCCCAGCTTTGTGGATTCTCACACACTATACCGCTTGGATCTCATCTACCCGGTTGAGGCTAGGGTCATCTACAGTACGCTGCTGCCCCGGATGCCTCCAGCATAGCAGTCAGGCACCAGTAACTGCTATGCAACCTGAGCTATTTCTACTCATCATGAACCCCAGCAGGGCAGGACTAGCCTGGCTCCCTCACCACGAAATCCCCAGAACCTCAACGGAGAATCAGGGCAGGCCAGGCCCTTAGTCATTATCCACACACTGGATGGGGGCATGGATGAGTGCCAGCCCTGCTTGGGTGACACGTCTCACTTGACCCTCAGCCCTTGGAGTAGAATAACACTGTCCCCATCTTACAGATTAGAAAAGTGGGCTCAGACGTTAAAAGAGTTGCCCAAAGCCTTATGCTTGATAAGTGGCTGGGCAGGAATTCCAAGTCTGACTTCAAAGCTTATATGTTTTCCAGGTACACAACCCCTAGAAGGCAGGGTAGAAAATTCAAATAATAGCAATAAGCAGACGAGCAAACCCCCCACCTCGACCCCATACCAGGCACTGGGGAAACCCTTTTGCTTAGATCATCTTATTTAATCCTCAGCAACAGGCATATGCGCTGGGGATTATTTTTAGCTCCATTTACAGACGAGGAAACTGAGACATAGGCAGGTGAATCACCCGCGCTTCCCCAGCAATTCATGGTGGTCAAGAGACAAGCCCAGGTTATGCTGAGCTCTCTGCTCAGTTTTGCCTGGGTTGCGTGGACGGACAGCAGTGGGGCTTCCTCTCTTCCTTTCTCCTCAGACATGGCGTTGGCCTGGCACCTGAAGTTCATACTCCATGGACCAGGGGCCTCACCTTCTCCCGCCTCGCAGCCTGATTGTCTCCCGGCACCCCTCCACCCCCAGGCCCAAGCCCCCTTCCTCTCTCATCTGGATCTCTGTGGTGGCTCTTAACTGGTCTTCTGGCCTCCACTTTGGCCCTCCTAATTCGCTCCCCAGGAAGCCACAGGAAAGAGGCCCCAGGGGCTTTCAGTTACCCTTTGGATAAAGACTAAAACCTTTGCCACCCTTGAAAAGGCTGACCTCAGCTCTCAGAAGACAATTGCCCTGGGCTTGTTCCCTCATTTTCCATGAGCCCCAGTGGCCATTTTGGGGGTGATGTGCCTACCAAGGATCACTGAGGGATGGTTTTGTCAGAATTCCAAGCACAACTTGATCAGCTCCATCCCACAGCACAGACCACCTCTCTGGTTAACTTCTTTTTCATGGGTTCTTTAGGTCCCCCAAGAAGTTCTTCCTAGTATCTAACCTCTACCCCTCATGCTACAGCCTTTGGCTCCAGAGGCTGTGGGGTGAGAAGCTGGAGAGTTCTGCTGGATTCAGCTTCCATCCACCTTCACCTCATTCCTCCAGCCAGCTTACCTTCCCCTTCTTGGTGAGGACCTGCTTATAATACAACCAGCCTTCCCTCCTGATATCACTGAAGGTCGCATCCGAGAGGTCAGAGGTTGAGTGTCGCTTAGAAGGAACGTCAGCATCTTCGGAAGTGCCCCAGCTATCCAAGGACTGCAGCAAGACAAGAGGACAGTTTAAGGGGGCTCCCATAGTGCCAGCATCTCAGGAACCCTAAGGACCACTCACAGCCACACAGGCCTGATGTATGCCTGTGCTATGCTCTGCTATGCTGTGTGGCCTCATGGGACTTGCTTGCCCTCTCTGAACCACTTACGTTGAGGTCATGAGATGTCTGTGCTGGGAAGCCAGAAAGGAAGAAAGGCTCTGACCTGCAGACCACATGCCTCACTATGCCAGAGAAGCCAATCTGGAGCCTCTCTTAATTTTATAGACTTGAAGGAATTAAGGAAACAGAGGAAGTGATTGTGTCAACAGAGAGTTAAATAAACAGAGGAAGTGGCAACATCAACAAAGACTGAGTTAATGAAGCAGGTAGTCATGTTCACAAAGAGTTAAACTGAGGAAGTGATAGTGTCAACAGGACTCTAGCCACAGAGGTGACATGTCAAGAGAGAGTTAAGTAAGCAGAGGAAATTATAAGGAATAGGCCAGGTGACAATGTCATCGAGGTGTTAAACGAACTAAAGATATCCAGGGTTTGAAATCAAGATGGCTTTTTCCAATCTGTCCATAATCAAAGCATTATGGCCATTTCAGAACTGACTCTATGTCTCCCAGGTCCTGAGGCTGGAAACTCTAGCTTCTCCATAATCTCAATTCTGTGTGCCCCTACTGTCCAGTGTCCCTGTCCCCTGAAAATACCATGCAAATACTGACCAAGTGCCTCCCCAGTGCAGACAGTCTTAGGTACCCAGAGATCAAGCAGGGAACAAACCAAATGAAATCCCTGCCTGCATAGAGTTTACATTTTACCTGGGGACAGGCCGGAGAGGAGATGGCTGCACAAATTATAGGACGTGAGAAGTGCTAAGGAGAAAAACATAAAGTGGCGAAGAAAGGCATGAAACGTCAGGGGTGGAGGCTGAAATGTTAAGGAAGGCCTAAAAAAAACCTGAAGAAAGTGAAAACGTGAGTCATGTGGCTGGGGTGGGAGGGCGTGGAAAGGGCATTCTAGACAGAGGAATGACAAATGCAAAGGCCTTGGCTGGGAGGGTGCACAGTGTCTTGAAGTGATGACAGAGCCCACAGAGGAGGGTGGGTCACATGGTTGACACGAGGGTGAGTGAGTGCAGGGAGAAAGGAGTGGACAGGAAACAGAGAAGCCCACAGAGGCCATAGGCCTGGACCCTACACCAAGGGTCCTCCCCAGCACTCTGACACCCTGGCCCGCACACACATGCCACTCACCCCATCAGTGAAGAAGCTTCGAAGCATCCGCAAGCTGGGTACTCGGTTTGGCAGGCGCCTGGGGAGCAAGGACGGAGAGTGAGGGATTTAGAAAGCATAGCTAGGACACCCCCCATCCCGGCTCAAGTCTCAAGGCTCAGAGGCCTTCCAGGGAGGAAGCTCACTGCCCTGGTATGTAGAGGACCCCAAGGCTGGGAGGGAGCCCTGCCATAGCCCAGTCAAGGTAGCTGTGAAGGCCCCACCCCCCATCCTCACCGCAGGGTCCTGCCCTCTTCCCGGAAGGTGTTGAGCCCATCATCGCAGGACTTGGAGCGTTCTGTGGTGATGGCCAGCAGGTAGGAGGAGCGGCGGCCAGCCTTGATGCTGCCTGCAAAACCACCCACATTGGACCACAGGATCAGTGGGGTCACAGGTTAGGGTCTTCCCCAAAGCCCTCCCATCTAGGCAGGGCAGGAGATAACTCTCCCCTTGGGGCCCCAGTCAGAAGAGGCCAAACATCAGGTACCAGGACCAGCAGAGACTGTGGGGACCAGGCAACAAAGGGTGGGGGATGGGGCTGGGAGTGTGGGGAGTACTCACTGCAGTCCTGGGAGTAATGGCGGCCAACGGCAAAGGTGAAGGTTGGGGAAGATGGGCTAGTGCCCAGGACGGGGGCAGAGTTCATGGCGCTGGAGACCACAGCAGAGGCAGGAACGTGCTTGGCTTGAAGGTCAATGCTGGGGCTGGTGGGCTCATCTGTTCCATTGGAAGAAGTGGTGGGTAAAGGTGGCAGAAAGGTGCCTGCCCCCGCCCCCAGCCTTGCCTCCAGGCCCAGGCCGCATCCCCAAGACCCCTCAAGTCCTCCAGGGCACTTTTGGCAACATGCCCACAGCCAAGGGTGTCCCACCAACCAGACTGTGGTCATAACACCTTGGCCCCGGCCTCCGTCAGCACACTGAGGTAATCCAGATGTAGGGTTGAGCCATTGTCCTTGGACCGGGCTCCTGAGGGCAGGGACTGTGTCTCCCCACAAGATTGGGAGCTTCTTGAGGATAAAGACCATCTCCTGCATCAGCTGGGGGCTTGTTGAGGGCAGGGGCTATGTTTCCCCCTCAGACTGGGAATGCTTTGAAAGTAAAGACTTTACCTCCCCCTCATACTGAGAGCTTACTAAGGCTGTGTCTGCCCACTGAGACTGAAGGCTGGGGGAGGCCAAGGCTGGGTCTCCCCGCTCTCATTCCCAGGGCTACCCTACAGTAAGCTCACCACTCTCAGCTCCAGTTACCATCTCTTCTGGCTACAAGCTCCATAAACTTGCATTCTGCTCTTTTTTCCAAGCCCCTAAGCCCAGCCCAACCCACCCTGCTCCCTCACAGGTGCCTCATCTTCAGCACACCCTAAACCTTTTCCTGCCCCACTCCCTCTCATTCCCAAATGGAGGCGAAGCACCACCCTCCAGCCAGGCTGAAAACCTGGAATCCATCCTGCCTCTCCACTCTCCTGCCTCTCCCTTATCCAACATCTATTCTACAGGCAGCAAGCCTTCAGCATTGCCTCTGCTCTCAGGCTCAAGTCCAAGCTCCCCAGAGTCTGACAAGGCCCCTCTGGACCCATTCTGATGACTTGGAAGGCCATCTTGCCTCTATCACTTTAAAGTCTTTGCATATTCTAGTCTCTGTCCCTGAGCATTCTTCCTCTAACTCCTTTTCGTCCTGTAAGGCTTAGCCAAAATCTCCTTTCTCCAAGATTCTCTCCTAGGCCACCATGCCCCCCCGTCTAGGCTATGTGGCCCTTCTCTGTCTCTTAGACCTCCCTCTTCTCCCATCACACACCCATCCACTGGATTGCACTTGTCTGATCATCTATCCCCGTTGGACCATACAGTTCAGGAGAGCATGGGGTCTAGCACAGTGCCTAACGCAAATACTTGCCGGATGGATGGAAGGATGGAAGGTGGATGGAAAGAACAAAGAATGACAGGAACAAAGGAAGGATAAAAGAAAGAAAGGATGGAAGAAAGGGTGAAAGGAAAGACTGATAGAAGGAAGGAAGGAAAAGAAGGAAAACTGAAAGGATGGATGGATAGATGGAGAAATAAGTTGATCCCATCAGCACCCAACCCAGAGTTTTGCCCATGGTGACAGCAGGGTGGGGTACAAGGCACAGAGAACCAAGTCTCCCAAGACAACCCCTTGCACATCACTCACCAATGAAGGGGATGGAAGCCAGAGAGTCTTCAGTAGTGGCCAGAGGGACCACCTTCTTTCCCAGGCGTTCCCTTCGCCCACTGGTTTCTGGCTCTAGGGACTCGTCACCAAACCCAAGGTTCATCTGTCTTGCAGGGGGTAGTTGGACCTTGCGGCCCGTTGGAGGCTTCTGCCTCAGGACCACCTCGTCTCGACGATCCTCGGTGGGAGGCTCCAGTGCCCGGGTGATGGGTTCTGGCCGGAAAACTCTGGGTGGTTCAGAGTCCTCCGGTAGGAATGGTGCAGAGGACTGGGCCAAGTTGAAGGTAGGCAGGCCCCCAAAGGGTGAGTCCCGGAAAGAGAGTGCATGCAGGAGGCCAGTCCGGCGCTGGAATGATGGGCTATAGCTCCGGTACCCAATGTACCCGATGTCATCCAGTCCTTGCAGACCAGGCGGGGGTGGGGCCTGGGGCCCGGGCAGGTCTCTGGATGGGCAGGCAGGAGTGCGGACAGATGGACGCTGGGAAGCCCAGCCACAGCGCTCAAAGCGGGGTGACGCCAGTGCCCCTGGCTCCAGTGCCTCAGCTGAGCGGGTGGCCCGGCTCAGGTAGTCGTCTGAGCGAGCTCGGTGCCAGCCCTCCTGGCCCAGCTGACTCAAGGCACCCTGAGAGGTGGAGCAGGGCCACGGGCGATGGGCAGTCACGTCCTCTAACCGGTCTTGGGAGGCACTGCGGGCCCGAGGGGGCATGGCGGGGCACCGTCTCTCCCCCGCCCTGCGGGGTACCTGGTTTGACAGCCAGTGTGACAAGGCCTGCTGGCACTCCAGTCTGCTGGGGGGCACCCGGCTGCCAGGCTCCGGGAAGGCACGGGGTGTCCGGGGCTCCAAAGGGAGGTGGGGGAAGGCACCAGGGCTGGGGCGGGGCTGGCTCATCCCCAAGGAAGGGTTGTCTGGATGGACGCGGGCAGTGGATGCGACTCGGGGCCCTGGGTCACTCCAGGCAGCAGGACTCCGCGGGTCACTGGGCAGTGCTGAGAGGGGCTCAGGCACCATAGTGGCCCAGGTGGAGACCCGGGGTGGCGGGGCATAGGTCTTGCGAGGGTAGCAGATTGGGGGCGGCTCTGGGATCCTCCGGGCCTCTCCAGAATACGGCTTGTTCCCCTTCAGGTAGGCGTCCTGGGAGTAGGCCTGGCCAGGGACAGAGGCAGGTGAGCAGGGCTGGACAGTCCCACAGGGCGGGCTACAGCAGCCCTCAGAGATTAGGATACCACAAGGGGACTAAAGGGAGACCAAGCAGGGGGTGTCCTGAGTGGGTCGGGGTAGGAGGGCATGCTCCTAAGAGAGTGGGGGGAGGAGGGGCAAAGAAATAAGAGGCCTTTGAGAGAATCTCCCTCTCTCTCTCTCCCCCCACCCCCTCTCTCTCTCACACACACACACACTGGAGAAAGAGCCAGGATTTCTCTAAGACTTATGACAAGGACTGCCTTTAGCCACAAACATTCCAACATCTGTTTTCTGGGGTCCTCCCTCCATGCTGGCCTCAGCCGCCACCCTGCTTCCTTATGTCCAACGATGCCCACAGCCCCTGGGGCAGAGCTGGAAAACCCTACCAGAGACCAGTCAAGGTGGCAGATGGCAGAGAAGGAAGCCGGCTAAGGGGTGTGTCCTGAGTTGGGGGTGCAGGTGGAGCCGGGAAAGCCCATCCATCCCCCCAGCCCCTGGATGGGGAGCTGGGGGCCTGGCTCCTGGGCCACTGGGGTGAGGAGGAACTAGGCTAGCCCGCCTTCTAGTCCTTCTGGGATAGGCTTGGGGGAGGGGCCAGACTGGCTGAGGGGCCTTGGGCCACCTTCAGCCACCCAAGGCCTGGAATTTGGCGCTGGGAACTGAGTCTGACGCTGCATTGCTGAGGAGTGACAGGGCCAGCACCCAGGCAGGCCAAAAAAGGAGGCAGCCCCCAGGGACAGCGGCCTTGTGGCCCTGCCCTAGCCTGGCCCTTACGGGCTGCCCTGGGTGGAAAGGCCTACCTCAGGGGGCAGTATCGAAGGGTGGGAGAGTGAAAACACACACACCACCACCACCACCACCACCACCGTTGATAACAGGAAAATACACACCCAGAGACACACTCACACATACATAGTAAAACACAATGAAATACACACACGTACACACAAATAACTACACCTCCCGTCCCAGGAACACACATCCTGTGACGAGGATGAGCTAAACCACACCCCTGCACACTCAGCCCCCATCAGACGAACACGCCCCGGGCCAGGGACACTCAACATACCTCTCCTTCCTGCCATCCTGCCGGCTCCGCGGGCTTCCCGCATCACAGCGGCGGCGGCGGCGGCATCCCGCCCACCTCCGCTCTCCTCCCACCCCCGCTAAGCTCCCCCCGCCACCACCACCACTGCATCCGCCCTGGCCTCCGTTCCCTCTGCCAGTCCACCCTCCCTGCGGCTGCCCTCGGCCCCCACCAGCTCTCTGGGCTGGCGGGAGGAGGAGGGAGGGAAGGATGGGTGTGGAGGGGCCTCGCTGCGTCGGCGGTGGCGTCAGCAGCTGCCGCGGCCCCATTGGCCTCCAGCCTTGGCTCCCAACCACAGGAATGCCTGGGCCCCACCCTCTGGCCTGCTGGGGATGGGGCGGGGGCAGCGGAGGCCCCCAGATGCTGACATCTGGAGCGGCTAACCGGAGCCTGGGTAGCAGAGCTCCAGGCTGCTGCTCTCTCCACCCCATGCTCTCTCCAGCTGGAGCAGAGGTAGGGGGACAGGCCCTAGGTCCTGCCCTGTCACCCCCTCCCATAGCTCCCCTCCCCGCAGCCTGGAGGGTGGGAGGTGTATGGGCAGGGCCCTTGAGCCTTGAGGGGAGCCATCCACCTCTCTGGACCCCCATCCTTGCCTCCCCCTCCCCAGGAAGGGCAAGGGGACAATTGAGGTCAGGGGGTGGAGGTTCCCAGAGGGGCATGGTGCCAAGCATGGCACTATGATTACAGTGATTATGAGAATACATCGAGGGCAAAAGCCAGCACGGCGGCTCTCAGGGCCCCCTGGGCTTGGCCCTTAGCCCTCTCCTGGGGGGCAGTGACATTGGGGGCAACCAAGCTGGCATCTGGCTGGGACCCATGAGACCAGGGAACTGGGCACTGGGCAGAGAGTCCTGCCCTGGGCTCTGGGTCAGAACTGGGAGGGGGGCACAGAGACAGAGACAGCATGTGCATGTGCATGTGTATGTGTGCATGAGTGTGTGGGGTAAACAGGTACACATGTGAGTGCAGGGTATGCGGCACGCAATGTCGGTGTATCTGCTGTGTGCAGAGTTCTAGGTGTGCGGAAGTACCTGTGTGGGGAGGGGTACACGGACTGTGCATCGGGGCTGTGTGAGGTTTGGTCATAGTTACATTGGTGAATACTTATGCCTGTGTTGGGCTGGCACATGCTGTGATGTTTGTGGGCAGACATGTGACAACAGCGAGCGTTTGTGATGTCAGCGAGTGCTCATGTGGTGGTGGTGAGAAGTCCGAGTATGTGTGTGGCGATACACTGCGTATGGGTTGTGTCGTGGGGAATGGAGATGCTAAGGACTGTTGTGCTGCTATGATGTTTGTGGTGTGCTGTGAGGCTTGAAGGGATTTGTGTGGCAGTGGGTGCCTGTGTGCAGCACTCAGGGGTTGTGTGTGTGCGGCATGTGTTTGGTGCAATGTGTTGGGTGCATTATGTGTGTATCACGTACTGCAGTGTATGGTATGCAAGAGGAAGGTGTGCTGCGGGGTTATGTTGTGTGGCTGTGTAGCTGGTGTGTTTGGCTTGTGTGTCGAGTGGTGCGAGGTGTGTTGTGTGAATGGGAGCACACGACAGTGGGGTGGGGTGGGGTATGCTGTGTGTGTGTGAACACAGCAGCTACACGAGATACACTCACTCTGGGCCAGGCAGGGAGGCGATATAGGAAACAGGCGTCTCATGGGAATTGACAAGAACGTGCCAGTCTGGCAGGGCCCGCTGAGCCACCCTCTTTCCAGATACCCTGGCAGGAATCCTGCCTGCCAGGGCCGGTGCCTCCCCCTCCCCCAACACAGAGCAGTCCTGAATGAAGCAACAACCAGCCCCAGCCCAGGGATGGGCCTGGCATTCCGGATTGGGCAATTCTGGGCTGGTGCTGCCCCCTCCACTCGCTTCTCTGCCTCCCAGAAGGGCTGATGCAGGAGGGAGACCCAAGGTCCCTGGGGTCCTCTACTTCAGACAGCAGGGCAGAACTCACCAGCTGGAGGATGTCCTCATCCTTGGGCATGATGGAAAGCTCCAGAGTATCATCGCTACAGAGATAGGGCAGGGGGTCAGGCCCAGCTGAGGCAACAGGGTCTGAGAGAACAGGGATCCTGGTCTCCCGGGTACCCCCGGGCCAAGTGGGTGGGGTGTGTAGGGACTCTGAGTGGGCCATAGCTATTACAGGAGAAGTAGGGTGCGCTCACCTATTCTGGATCAGAGCTATGACCTGGGAGTAGGTCTTCCCAATGACGCTCTCCCCATTCACCTTCACCAGCCGGTCTCCTGGGGACAAGGGGCAGGGTCACATGTGAGCAGGCCAAGGGGTGTCAATAGCCCCACCTGAGAACCACTGTACCCAGTATGGATGACGGGGGTGGGGGGTAGGGAGAAAAGACCCAGAGGGATGCCATGAGCCCAGGTAACCGGGACAGCTCACCTGTGCGAAGCCCCGCCCTATGGGCAGGGCCCTCATCCTTCACATTCTTGACAAAGATGGTATCCATGGGCTCCAGGCGGTGGTGCCGAGGGGAGGGTCCTGGTGAGCATCAGCCAGGTTAGCTGGGGGGGGCTGCTGAAGGTCACACCCATGCACAGCTACACACACAGAGGACACACACTCAGAGAATGATCACACTCACACAGACACAAACACAGACCCACACGTCCACAGGGGCATAGATGCAGACAGGAGGACACACTCCTGGGAGAATGAAAACCTACGTGGACGAAAACCTACACGGACACAGAGTTGCTCTCACGTCTCCTGCATCCCAGCACTGTGCTAGAAAGTAGACTAAAAAGAACAGAGATATACTAGCTGACTGTCTAGTGGGACAGATGCACACACACAAGTCACAAGACAAAGGAAAGGGTGCCATAAAAGAGGCTGTCTCAATCCCTGAAGATACATAGCAGGGAGAGACACCCCTAAACACAGAGAATGTCTATACCCACAGACCTGGCGGGGAGCTGCAGAAAAACCCTGAAACTCAGATACCCAACACCCATACCTCCAACATCACATTATACCCCAGCAATACTCGGCTCCTAACTGTCTCCATCAGAGAATGGGCCTGCTGTTGGTCAGCTGGCTCCTCCCCCGCCACGGACCTCTGCAATAGGGACTCAGGAAGATAGTGTCTCCATGGCTTCCCAGCAGAAGCCCGAGTGGCAGAGAAGGCAGGCTGCCTGTTCAAGTTCTGCCTTGAATATCCCAGGGAGCCCGGATACCAGTGAGGGGCCCTTTGGGGTGGCAAGGATAACAGCCAGGGAAGTTAAGACTCAACATCTGGAAAGATAAAGACCTCAGGTTGCCCCCTCCACCCACTTATGCTCAACAGAACCCTAGTGTCTATCCCCAAGGATACCCCTTGATCAAGTCCACCCCACCAACCAGCCCTCAAGCCCTATAGCCCCTGCCTGTGCCTCAGTCTAGGCTGGGAGTAACTGTACGGCAGGGGCCAGGTCTTAGAAATCCATCTGCTCCTCAGAGTGCCACCCCTAGTGTGGAATGGACAGGCCCAGAGGGAGACAAATGTGAGAAAGGAAAGGGAAGCTGGAGAGAGTGAGCCAATGTCCAGAGTGGCCACACACAGAAGAGCAAAGACAGGAACAACAGTCGAGGGTGGGGGCACAGCAAAATCCAGGCTGACTTGGGGAGAGGGAGAGAAACAGAAGCTCGAAGATGAGTCCCAGCTCAGCCCCAGCCCCTGGGGCCCGACCCCCACCACTCCTTACCTCCTCCTCTTCCTCCATTCTCTTCTTCCTGCAGGGGACAGAGAGATGGGTGTGGGCCCTCAGTCCAGCCCTCAGCAGCACAGGGGGAGGCCCAGCTCCACTTGGGCGGGCCCCTTCAAGCTCCCCCACCCAACAGCCTCCCCTCTTATCTTCCTTCAACTAACCTAGCACCCAGAGAGGGCAGGAGAGGTGTCTATGGGGACAGCAAGTCCCAGGCATGGTTCCCCAATGACATGAGCTCTCTCTCATGCTTGCTGATCCCACCACATCAGTATCTCAGCCATCTGAAAGCCCCCAATTCAACAGGGGACCCATGGCCTTTTCCCTTGGGGAGCTCAAACCAAACACACTAACACAGAGAGGACCCAGACGGACACAGATAAGCAGGCATGACAAGTGCAAACAGTAGCTAGTATCAGTTCTTAGAGAATGGGAGGGGAAGGCCTGATAAGCCTCCCTCTGGGGGAGGGGATTTTAAGGCCTGGGAGAAGGTGTTCTGGGTTAGGGGTGTGGAGTGTGCAGGTGTGTTTGGTGTTGGAAATAAGCAAACATACGTAGGATTGGATCAGCTGAGCTTAAGGAGAAAGAAAGTCCACACCAGCAAGCCACAGAAGTCAGACTAAAGCATTCAAGTTTGAAAGGGAAGAAAGAGGGAGCCAGTTAAGGTTTCTGAGTGGGAGAGAGTAGATGTGAAAATACCAGTTAGGGAAGAGGATTCTGGCATCTAGGTGCAGGGCTAAGAAACAATGTCAAGGAGACCCATGAGGGAGGCCCCTGGGATCGTCCTGTGAGTGAGGGGAAGGGCACTGGACTGGGGAGCAAACAGAAATGAAAGGAGCAAGTCAGAGAGACACGACTGGCCAGGAGGATGTGGCATTTTAGAGCAAGATGGGACCCTTGGTTTCATCTTGTCTAACCTACTCCACAGATCATCCATTTTACAGATGATAGGGTGTGACTTGTCCAGGGCCACTCAGAGGCTCAGTCGCAGTGCCAGGGCTGGAATCCAGGACTCTTTGGCTTGCCAGCTAGGACAGGAAGGCCGCTGGGCACTGCTGGAAAGTCCCTCTCCCCCTGCCCTCCCATGTGGGGTACATGCCTGCTGATATGAGCTGACAGCATAGCGAGCGGGTAGCAGAGGCAGACTGATGCATTTAGATGACTGAGCTCCCTGCAGGCTCCCAGTCCTGGGCAGGTTCTCGAAAGGGGATGGACCTGTCCCTGGCCTTCCCTGCCCTGGGGTCTTCCAGTGCCCCCATCCACCAGGGAGGCAGGTCCACCACCCAGCCTAGGCCACTCAGCGGGAATCCCTGAGAGAAGTTGGCAGGGGCCAGGGAGGAGCAGCATTCTGGGGAAGGTTGGAAGGAAACACTGGAGGTTCCAGCGAACTAGGGGGCTCATGGCCTTGGGCATCAAGGGGTGGGGTAGTATCCTTCTCACACACCATCCACCCCACTTGTACTCAGAAGCACAGCTGCAGCCAGTGAGAATAGTTTATACGGCCCCCCAGATTCAGACATGTCTAGGAGAGTTGCACAACCATGTACACATGATGTGTATTTATAGACACCAATATGCACACATCTAGATACACACACATATGTGTACATGACCAGCATACCATGCATGCACATGTGCCCACAAAGAGCCATGCAAGCACACAGATACAGGCAGTGCAATCCAATGCCACAGTTCTCTGGCAAGTGGGACAAAGCTCCCCAAGGGAGAGTCCCCAAACAGCTGTGCAGGCTGGTCCTAGCCCTGGGCGAAGGGGAGAAAGGGGTTCATTGACTCCCAAATAAATCTGTCTTCTCTCCTGCTTGTAAAGAGATGGGGAAGGGAGCAGGGCCCTCCTGGGGTGTTGTGGTTCCTGCCTAGGGCCCCTCATGTCTTCCTGCACCTGTGCCTCACTGTCAAGACCCCTCCCCACACTGTGAGTTGGGCTGAGCAGGCTGGTTCCTGGACTCAGAGAGCTTGACATTCATATGAGGGTTGGAAGGATCCTTAGGGTTAAGTAGAGAAATGCCCTCGAGTTATAGCAGGAGGAATGGAGCCCAGAGATCCACAGTGAGTTAGGAGTTGTACCAGGGGTAGAACCCAAGTCTCCTTCATCCCAGCCCAGAGCTGAGGCCAGCAAGGGTCTGGGGCACTCCCGGAGGGGTCCCAGAGGAGGGTCAGGATGGACTCACTGAAAGCTCAGGCTGGGAGGAAGCAACAAACCCAGCTGAGAAGTGGCCAGTGGACAAGGGATCCTAGGACATCATCTCTCCGAACAGGTTGTTCACCTTTCAGAGACCAAGAGCTGGCGTGCAGGTGAACAGCCTGGCTCCCCCACCTCTAGGTTCCCTGTGCTGAACCAGCCACACTGCCTCTTCTCCAGAGAACATGCAAATGATCTAGCCAGGGCTGCACCCACCTCTCTGTGACCCTCCTCCGCAGGCCACAGAAGGACTTTGGGGGGAAGGCACAGTGCAGAGCAAGCTCCCCTCCCCCATCAAGGCTTCCTCAGGCTGGGCCAGAGCAGTGGGCAAGCTGGGCCTACCTTCAGGCCGCAGTGCACAGCGGACTCAGGCGGGTACACAATGAAGTGGCGCAAGGTGAAGCCAAAGCCATCCTGGAGACTTTTGTGCAGCAGCAGTGTCCTCGGCCCCTGCCAGGGGAGGGGACGCCCAGGAGAGCACCCATCTCTCGGGCCCAATGGCAGCTGTGGGAGCACAGGGAGACAGGGGTGAGTGGCCATGGCGCCCACACGCCGAGCCTGCACACTGCCTCCTGAGAGGGGCTGGAGGAGGTCCATTGGGCCCTGGGGTTCCAGGCACCCTCCTCTGCCCCTGACCTCCTCCTCGGCCCTTCAATCATCTCTCACCCTCATCAGCTCAACAGCTTCTTTCCTCTTTATTCCCCTTCAAACCCCTTGTGATGCCTTTGCCTCCAGGGAAATAACTCACTGCAGGGAGCCAGGTGCTGGTTCAGTTCAGTTCAACAAACATTCACTGAGCACCTACTATGTGCCAGGCACTGGACACACAGCTGTCCTGCCTGGGAAGTGCCTGCTGCTGTCTGAGCTCATTCTTGCCGCTGCAAAATCTCACACATGCACACAGATAGACACACACACACGTATGCTGACACAGACACATCCACAGGCACTCACACACACAGAACACACTATGACACCCAGACAAGCACACCCATGTGCAGAGTGTACACAGACACACAGATGAGTACACAGACACACACACTCTATGTAGACACACAGACACGTACACACACAGTCGCACATAATCAGTCTCATACACAGCACGTGCTAGACAGACTGGCCCAGACACAGACCCTGCGGGAACAGCAGCGAGAAACAGGTGGGGTACTAAGAGCCATGAGGGAATGGACTGGACGTCAGACAACTAAAGGGACTTCCTGAGACTTGGGAGCCCAGCCCAGAGGCCTGGCTGGTCACCGGAACTGAGTAGAGAACCGGGTGTGTGTGTGTGGGGGGGACACCTCACTGCCCTCTGGCTGACCCGCTGGAATACTTGGGATTCCCCAGGATGACATGGCAGAGGGTGTCTGAAGACAAGGTTTTGGGGATACACAGGTATGCAAAAGGGAGAAGAGAATGGCAGTGTCTGAGGCAGGGCTCTCTTCAGGTACCTTGCTCGGATACGGATACAGGATGGTGTCAGAGATGTGTGCACAGGGAGCAGAGGGAACATTAGAGAAGATGGAAGCCAAGGGCAGGCTGCCTCGTGAAAAGCCAGGAGGCCTCCCTCAGCCTCCCAGGAGGCCACCTTGGGCAGCCTAACCTAACCCCTCAGAGGGTAAGAAGCTCCTCCATCTCCATCCTCAAGAGTCCTCGAACCCCTCACTCCTCCTTGGTACCAGGAGGAAAGGTGGGCTGGGGGCCAAGGGAAGAAGCCCACCAGTTCTGGGGTGAGGAGCTCCCACCTCACTATTAAGTTCCCTTTTCTTCCCCATCTAATAGCTGGAGAAAGCTCAAATTTGCCATGCAAATGTACTGATACTAAGAAGTTCCTTCATGTATCCATCCACTCTCCTGTTCACACGTCTGGCGGCAGGGAGGTGGCCCTGCGCCCAGAGCTATGCTAAGCATTTCTGCACAGGGTGGGCAGATCAAAGAAAAATATGACAGAGGCAATAGATTTGCTTCATACAGCCTCAGGGGACACAGCCAGGTGGGAGATACAAGGAGGCTGAGTGAGGTTCCAGGCCAGGGTGACCACTCTGACATACACATCTGGGAAACTACCCGGATGAGGTCGTGAGCTCTCTTGTCCTTGCGAGCGTCAAGCAAAAGCTGGACGACCCCCAGTCTAAAAGGTCTTAGCTGGGATTCCTGCACTGGGCCGGAGGCCCAGCGATGGGCCCTCAGCTCCTTCCACCTATGGTGATAGCCTGGACTCTCCCACTTAGACCCACAAGCCCGTGGGGGTCTGAGGAGCCCAGAGGAGAAAAGACTCTGGGAATTCTGCTGAAGTCTGAAATCCCCTGGATTTCCTATCTCTGTTGACCTGGCAAGGAACTTGGCAGGGAAAGAAGAGGGCCTCAGGGGACCCTCCACCGCCCCTCCTTTCAGAAGCCCCTTCTCCTCTCCAGTGTGGGTGGCCTCCCCTGCATGTCCTCCACCCAGGATCAGAGCTGAGGCTGTTCGCAGGGCCCATTGTTTTGCTGGTGTCCCGGATTAGGGTTTAAGCCACCAGCTGCCCCAGTGACTGATGAGAAGTGGCTGAGACAGGTCCCCGCACGCCCCCCGCCCCTCCCCCAGCACACATCCTGCCTGGAGCTGCCAGCTGCCTGGGGGTGACATCCCCTGGGGGGCCTGCCTGTAATCCAGGGCAGTGGGCATGTCTTCTTCTCTCAGGTCCCCTCCTCACTCAGGCACCACTGGTGCCCCCACCCTTATCTCAGCCTCTCCCTTTCCTCTTTTCCTTCCCTCCAGTCTCCCTTCCCCCATCCCTTCCACCTAGATGTCTGAGAACGTCAGTGTGGTAATCCCCCTGCCACAGCTACCCCACTCCTATCTGAAGAGACACCGGAGCCCCCATCAACAGCCAGATCTGGCAGCCCCCCTGTGGGGAGTTCTTCCTTAGGTTTAACCTCAATCTTTCATGCTATCATACAGGCATGTTTCCTCTCCTCTCCTCAGACTGGGGACAACACTGGGTCTTGCTCTCATCTTGAGGGGGAGGAAGGTGCTAAACACAGAGACAGAGAAGGGGCCAGCAATGAAAACTAGAAAGGTGGTTAGATTGGGAAGGGGTACAGATCACATACACCCTCAACTCTGCTCTCTGAAGTAGGCACAGAGACAGGGAACAGAGAGGGAGAGGCTCAGGAGACACAGGGACATCACTGATTAAGGCTCTCCTGCCCCAGATCTATTTCCAAACGCTTCCACCCTCACGTCAGGAAACAGACATCCAGAAATACCAACTGATTCTTAGGAGAAGGGCAGACGGTCTCAGGGCCACAAACTAGACAGAACCAGACATGTGGTGGGTTGGCAACACCAGGAACTAGAACCCAGGAGTCCTGTTCCTACCCCCCTCCCCCAGGAACATAAAGAGGTCATTGCAGGGAGCACAGCGTTCACGCTGGGCATGGCGCCCACTATGACTCATGCCCTACCAGCCTGGTCGATCCCGGACATCAGAAACACTGTCCCCACCCCACCCCCCACTCCCGCCCTGTCAGTTCGTACCCTGAGATCACTCACTACCTACCTGCTGGGGCCCATTCTGTCACCTCAGCCCCCTTTGCCCACTAGAAAACACTTGTGTGCCCCTGTGTCCAGGTCCCCTACCAGGAGGAAGGACAGGGTGGTGCCCACCACTCCATTTAGTGGCACACCTGCCTGCCTCTGGCTCAGGGTTCCCGCCAGCCCAACCCCCCCAGAGATTCTAGGTGCCCCAGCATCTCTTCAAACAACCCTGGTCCCTTCCATCCTTCCACTGCCTGTAAACCAGGAGGCTCGAGCCCACTGGAGACCACTACCCAGACTGGGGTTTGTCATCCAGTCTGGTTTGTCACCCCTGGAAAAGCTCTCGGCCACAATCCCGCCACCCTCACTGGCATCTCACCAGCTCCTCACTCACTCCCCACTCCTGGGCATTGGTTCCAGAACGCTGGGCGCACACAGCTCAAAGATCACAGAGTTGGTTGCCCAGTTCCACACGCACGCGCGCGCGCACACACACACACACCTTTCCACGAGGGCTGCCCAGGCCCCTGCCCCTGCCCCGGGTCCCCACCCCCTTGGTGCTCACCCTTACCAGGCGTGACCCACACGCGTGTCGGTCGTTGTGGTTGAGGTAGGGCAGCCAGAGGCAGCGCGGCTCTGGGGCGCTGCAGTCCACACCGACGGCGCGCTCCCAGCGACAGCCCCGGGCCCCCGCGGGCTCCACGCGCCACACGGTGCTGCCCGCAGGCGCGGCGGCCGGTAGGAGCCCCCGGGCCCGGCCGCCGCCCCGGCCCCATTCCGCCGTGGGCCTGGCTTCCGGAGTGGGGCGCACCGCGCGGGGGCCCACGGCCGCTCCTCGGCGCCCCGCGGGCGGCGTCCTCGGCCCTCCGGGCGGCAGGCGGGCCCCAGGGGTCCCCGCCTGCCCCGCGGAGCCGCGGGCCCGGGACCCAGAGGCTGTAAGCGGACGGACGACCCGCGCAGATGGCTGCAGGATGGCTAGAGCGGCTCCGCGCCTCCCGCGCCTCCCAGCTGAAGGCGCCGAGCTGGGACACGCCGGCGAGTCGCCCAGGGCGGACACCTCCCCCTCCGGGGCGGCCCCATTGCGCGGCCGCCCCATCCCACACACATACACACCCACACACACAGAGCCTCCGCAGTCACACGCTGCACACCCTGTACAGGTACACAGGTACACACCCCTCCACTCACACAAAAATTCACACTGTACTGGCCTGCGCAGGTACTCCTTCCAGTGCACAGGGCACCTACCTTCCTGAGCCCCGAAAAACACACATTCACACGTGTACACGGTCCCTCACACAGATGCACACACAAACACACCCTACCTACCCAGTATAGACCTGCACTACACACACACATCCATACACTCACTCCACACCCTCCCAGACACACACACATACACACACGTTCACTCACTCTCCCTCTGTCCACATACCCCACAGAAACACACACATCAACACACTATTCCCCTCACATACACACTGTGTGTAGACATCCTTAAGTATATGCACACACACTTTGGACACCATGCATATATAGTCCACCCCCCCCCAGAGACACATTTGCAAGGATACCCACTGTGCACCTAAAAGCATACTAGACCCCTCACATACCCATCCATACCCCACAGATACCCACAAACCATACACACACACACACACACACACACACACACACACACACACACACGCTGCCCAGCACAGAGAGCAGCACTCACACTCATAACACCCCACACCAGGTATACCCTAAGGCTGCTGGTGGAGTCCCCATCACCACCGTCACTGACCCTCTTCCCCAGGACCCCCGCCCATTCGCTCTGTGCATTGGGGCCACAACCAAGCTGATAATGGGCTCCAAGCTGTCCCCCTCCTCCCCCCTCACGGCCACGTGCTCATTTGAGTCAGACAGGAAGCCGGTGTTGATGGCAGACCCTGACCTCCTCCCCTTCCTGGCTCTCTCCATTCCTAGGCCCCTTCCCGGGTGGGGCTGGCAGAGGCCTTGACTAGTAGGCGTGTAATCACCACCATTTCTATCCCATTTGACTGTTCACGGTGTGCATCTTACCAGAGCTCCCCTCCTCACTGTGGCCTGGAGCCACCGCTACGACTCAATTTTCAAAGCAGCAAGCTGAGGCCCAAGAGCACCCAGCAGCACTGGGACTCCAAGCCCAGAGCCCCTCACCCCAACGATGGGTCTTACTCCCAGATTCTAGCCAGCAGCCAGGGAAGGGAGGCTGGGGGGCTGGGTAGATGGAGGCAGTCCAGCTCAACCCTGCTCCCAGATCTAGGAGTCTGGGGAGGAAGAGTTCTAGCTCTGGGCCCTTGGGAGCAGCTACCAGAAGGGAGACTGGAGCAGAAAAGTTGGCTCCCTCATCCGGTCACCTGTTCCACCTATTCCTCGTTCCCAACAAGGACAGCCCTGATGGGAGGGGAGGGAGGGGAGCAACATGGAGGGGCACAGAGAGCAGAGAAGATGGGGTCTGGGGCAGAGGGAGGAGAGCTACAGGACCATAGGGGTGGGCAGGAGTGAGGGAGGGAGAAGGATGGAGGAGGAAGGGTGAGGGTGAGGCTTGTGGGGGGCCAGGGAGTGTTTTTGTTCTCCTGTTTCCTGTTTGCCTCTTGCTGGGTCCCCTGTGCTGGAGCTGGACCCCCACCCCCACCCTGGCGGAAGCCAGACGGGAAGAGCAAGGCTGCCACCAGCGCTGAGTCAGGAGGGCTCAGGGGCAGAGCAGGGAAAGGACCGCAGTCAGGGGAGCAGAGCGCATGACATCTCTATCAGCACCCTCTGCTGCCCCTCAATCGCTGGAAAACCAAGGATTCTGAGTTAGGCCCCCTCCTGCCCTTGCCTGCCCTGAGCCTCTCTGTCATGCCCTCCAATGACCAGGCACTCACAGACCAGCTGGAAGCACCACCAAGACGTCCTCAGCCATGTCAGGCTCTTAGGCCCCAAGCAGAGCACAAGGGCCACGAGGATGTCCTCACCCATAGTCTGGCCTGCTCTCTCAGCAAGCAGCCAATAAGTCCTTCCAGTTACTACCGAACTTCCTTTCCTCTTGCTGCAAGTCCAGTCCCTGGTTCTGAGGAAATGGGGTGACTCCTCCACCTCATGCCCCAGGGAGCCTCTCCTGGCCAGCAGGTGCTGCTGTGTGTCTGGATTAACCCCCTGGACACAAAATTCTGTGCCCAGGGGTGCAGAGACCTGGGAAAGGACGAGCCATAGATGATGTCCATTTCCTGCCCTCTAACCTGGAAGGGGCAGCAAGGCTCCACAAAGGAGGTTACAGCCTGGTCCAACACAAACCTGCACCTTCCCCACCCCACCCCAGCTGCCTCTCCGGGGACATCAGGAAGGGGGTGTACACAGTAGGGCCTCCAAGGTTGTACATAGTTTGAATAAATGATCCTCTAGGTCTGGGGAGCCTCTCAGCCACCTCCCCCATTTCCTCTGGGAAAGGAATGTGGGGTGGGCCCCAGAGGGTGGGGGGGGAGGGGGCCAAGGGCTGGGAAATACCAGGCGTAGCTGAGATTCTATTCCAAGCCTTCCTGCCTAGTATGAGTCCTCCTTCCCTACACCCTCCCCAGCTTCCTCCCCCCAAATCAGGAATTACCCTGCTGAGAAGTCCTTCCCATCATCCTCTAGTTTGACCAGCTTGCAAAATCCATTCAACCTTATCTTCCTGAGGTTCTTTGGGACAGATCTTGGGGAACATGCCCCAAGGGGAGAACATCTAGTCTTCTTCTCCCCAAATGAGATAACCGTCCTTTACTGCTTGAAAGCACTTTCACTTTATCTCATTTGACCCCTACTCTAAGAATTGGACGTCCAGGGATTGTCTTTATACCCATTTTTCAGGTGCAAAAACTAAGTCTCAAAGAGGATAAATGACAGGCTCAAAGCCTCACTTTTACTAAAGGGTAGCTTAGGCTGGAGGAGTGGAAGACTGCAGGGGCCAGCCTGACAATCGGGAACTGGGGAAGAGGAGAGCATCCTGGGGCCCAACAGTCAGGGGATATGAGCAGGAGGGTAACTGATACCTTTGAAGGACGAAGTGGCTCAGGAAGTGAGACAGAGGGGCTTGGGGTCAACTGACCTGCTTTTCGTTCCTCTAGCTTGCTTAGCACCTCCTTCCAGAATGTTGCCCCCAAACCACAACACAAATAATGCCCCCCACCCCAAGAGAATGGTCCAGCACTTATGAAGCTACACCCATTGCACAGCACCAAACGCAGATCTATAGCCACCCCACAACATCACACCCAGATAGAGCAAATCCACCACCAGTCCTGTCCATCTCAGGCATGCAGGCAATGTGATACCCAAGGCATCTTGCCTGCCCACGCCTGGGCCTCTGACCCATGCCCCAGTCTCCTCGCTCAAGGGCAGCCGCCCCTTCAATCCTCCTCCACCCCTTTGCCCCATTCAGATGCCTGGTTCCCGGCACCACTTGTGTACAGTCCTGACATGCCCCAGCAAGCCAAGCTGATGAGCCGGCCCAGCAAGCCTGAGGTTCCCCAACACCCTAATGTGCAGATAACCCCTTCTCACCGGGAGCCTGGAGACCTCACACTCCGGTATGTAGTCCCACGGGCAGGGGTAGTTGAAAGGGTCTCTCCAGACCAGTGCTCTCCCTCTCCAGGGCCAAGCTTACCCTGAGTTGGGGTGGTTGTGACATTCCCTTCCCACCCTCAAACTGGGCCAGAGCCAAGGAAGGCTGGGGGAGGGGATGGTGAGAGAAAAGGGAGGAGGAAGCACTTGCAATGCCAGAAATCCCATTGTCATCTCCAGGTGATCCCAAGCAGCACAGAATCCCCTCCTTCTTCAGTGGCATCATGGCTAGGGGTGAGCACGTGAGCTTTGGAGTCCAGACTCTGGTTCTGAGTCCGCATCTCTACCACTTTCTGGCTGTGAGAACTTGCCCAAGTTACTCATTCTCTTTGAGTAACCTTACCAATAAAATGAGAAGGACACTAATTCCCACCTCATAGATTATCGGGATAATTAAGTAAATTAAAGAAAGTCTTTATTTAGCACAGGCCCTAAGCACATAGTAGGGGTCTAATAAGTGCAAGATTTTTTTGTTCTTTTTTTCTTTTCCTCTTTAAAAAAAAATTATTGAGGTATAATTAACGTACGACATTATATTAGTTTCAGGTGTACAACATAATTCAAAATGTTCATACATTGTGAAATGATCACAATAAGTGGTCAACATCGTCATCATCTATAGTTACAGATTGGTTTTTTTTTGTGATGAGAACATTTAAGATCTACTCTTAGCAATTTCAAATATGCAATACTGTATTATTAACTATAGTCACCATACTGCACATTGCGTCCCTATGACTTAATTATTTTAGAACTGGCAGTTTATATCTTTTGATTCCCTTCACCTACTTGGCCACCCCCACCTCTGGCAACCACCAATCTGTCCTCTATGAGCTTGGTGGGGTTTTTTGTTTTTTGCGTTTTTTTAAAGGTTCCACATATAAGTGAGATCATATGGTATATGTCCTTCTCTCTCTGACTTACTTCGCTTAGCATAATGCCCTCAAGGCCAGTGCAAGCTGTTTTGATTGTCTTTTGAATATTCATACTCTCACACACCCAACCACACTTAGATTGAGACATGCAGACAACTCAGCCACATGTACACAAAGGCATAGTGACACATCAGACGCGTACAGAGGTCTACACAGAGCCAGGTAAACCCACTCGTGTGGGCATCACCACCACGTCCCCCTGCCAGCCCCACCACCTCCCCCTACACGCCCCAATTCCTCCAAAGCAGGGAGGGGTCAACAGGAGCCCCCCTTCCACTGCAGAACTTGGGTAGGTCCAGAGCCTTGTCGCGTAGGCCCTTTGGGAGTGGGGAAGGGGTCGGCAACATGAGACCCCAGGATGGGGCCTGCTCCCAGCAGGCAAGGAACTTGGCAAAGGTGCCAGGCTGGCAGGGCCTCTCCCAGCAAAAGAGCCAGTTCCCTCCCTGCTCAGGGACAGCAGAGGGAGGGGAGACTAAAGATGGGCATCTTTCCTCATGGTGGGAAATGAGCACTTGCAGAAAAGGGTGAGTCTGGAGCCAGCCACAAAGTAAACAGTAGGGCCATTGCCTAGGCGACTGCGGGCCAGCCTGGGACAGGGCCCACCACAAGCCCTCTCCACCCCTGTTTTACTCCACTCAGCAGCCCCTTGATGTCTCAGTACATGCCCTTCAGTATACATTCTGGTCTCTGGGCCTGTCTGGGAGCTCCCCAAAGGGAAGAGCCTATGCCTCTTCCATCAGACTGGGAGCTCCCTGACAGCAGGGCTTGGGGGTTTTTGTTTTGTTTTGTTTTGTTTTGTCCCATATTAATCTAGGGTCTCCCTAAGGTCATGGCCTGTGTCTTTCCCCTCAGATTGGAGACTGCTCAAGGATATGGCCTGAGGTTTCCCTCATTAGGCTGAGAGCTTCCTAAGGACAACAGCTACTAAATTTTGAGACACGGATTTGTGCTACTAGAGTGTTTTGTACATAGTAGGCTCTCAACAATTATTTGTTGATGGCAAGGATGTGGAGAAATCGGAACCCTTGTGCATTGCTGGTGGAAATGCAAAATGGTGCCATTGCTGAGAAAAACAATATGGCAGT